TGAACAAGTGCCTCATGGTAAAATGGTGGTGGAAAATCATGTCCCTTGAGGAGCGTCCCCTCTGCTTATCCTTTCTCAAGGCCAAATACTTCTCGGACTCGAGTCCCATGTTTGCATCTTTCTCGGGTGGCTCCCAGTTTTGGCGTCAGCTTGTTAAAGTCCGGCCTATCTTTCAGTCTTTGGTTAAATTCGTAGTTAGAAATGGTAAGTCCACTCGTTTTTGGTTAGATTGGTGGGCCGGGAAGTCCACTCTCGCGGTGGCCTTCCCGGTTCTTTTCTCTTACTGCTCTGATCCGAAGATCTCTATCTTCGAGCTCTCCGTTAATAATTGGGACCTCGCCTTTCGTCGATCTCTTTCTCCTGCAGAGTTGGAAGACTGGTAACGTCTTACTGCTTGCTTCTCCATGCTCTCAGATGAAGATGATTCGGTCGTTTGGCCTCACGCCTCTTCTGGTCGGTTTTCGGTTAAGACTACTTACGCTAAGCTTATCTTCGGTGCTCACACGTCGAAATTTAAGAACATTTGGAAGGCCCGTATTCCTCCTAAGATCAAAATCTTTATGTGGCAAGCTTTTCGTGGGAAGCTTCCTGCGGCTGATCAAATCCGAAAAAGGAATGGCCCGAGCTCTGATAGATGCGTGCTTTGTGGGGCCATTGAAAACATCGAGCATATTTTCTTTCATTGTTTTTCTGGCTAAATTCCTTTGGTCTTGCATCCGACATTGGCTTCATGTTAATTGGAACCCCTCATCCTTCGAGGACCTGCGACAATGTGTTTCTGCTTTATCTGGGGTGACTAAAAGGGTTTTTTGGGTTGGTTGGGCTGAGATATGTTGGGCGCTGTGGACTACTAGAAACAAGTTTATTATTGAGCATGTCTTCCCGGCTAACCCTGGGAGCTGCTTATTTAAAGCTAATGTCTTCTTGCAGCATTGGAGATTATTGACTAAGGAGGCGGACCTTGAGGCTTTTGACAATATGGTATCTAAGATGCAGTCAACGGCTTCCTCCCTGCTGCGGCACTCTCGGACGCCGTCTTAGTAATTACCCTTTTGGTTTCGGTGCTGGCCTGCGTGCCATGATTGGCTAGGGTGCCATGTAATCGTACTTGCTAGCTGTTGCTTGATACTCTGTTCATCTGGTGTTTGTGATGTGACTCTGTCTGATGACTTTATTTATAAAATCGGGCGTATGTCTTTTCTTTAAAAAAAGAGAGAGGAACCCGGCCGCGCCTTGCTCCAGGTCCGCCACAACATCCAAACACAACATTAGATGTTTCTAAACAGAACACATCATTAGTAGCATCACTAACATGCTCGGCGACGAGGCATTTGGAATCTAAGAACAGTTGACAAACATATCAACAGCCGATGGTTGCAAATATTATTAGTAGCACGAGGCCGGCCTGCCATATGGTAAGGCCATAACTAAAGCCCTCGTGGTTCAGGCCTTGGACTATTTTATCAAGCGGCGTACCTAGGAGGCTGGAGGAGCCACGAGTCACTCACGCCGTAACTGTATTTGTTCAGGTAAACAGCACAAACAACCAGTTACCGCGGTGCAGAGTTTTAACTGAATGCTGCTCCGGGTGAGTTGAAATGGCATTGCAAGGCCCTGGTGCAGTGCTGATTCTTATCCACGGAATTTTTCCTTTGTAGGATTTCAGGGTATCTGGGCTGAGCTATTTCTTGGATTCCGGGGTGCGCAGTGTTTGTCTATAGCTCGGCCTGCAGGAAACACCAAGAGCGCATGAAGCCGAAACGGCAGTGTCAAAGAGAGTGGGGAGCCATCTCGACTCATTCCCACTACCAAAAAAATCCCCATCCTTTTCTATCCTTTCATTTTAGAAACTAATGTCTCCTACTGGTCTGGCTATATAAAGTGAAGCATCGCGCACTAGGAGCTCCAGAAGTAGTAGTAAGCAGCAATGGCGCAGCAGATAGAGCACACCCACCTCCTCCTCCGTGGGCTCAACCTCCACCTTGCTCAAGTAGGCAAAGGTGAGAGCTTCTTCCCCCCCTTCTTTTCGCCATCGGCGTCGTGAGTGGAGCTTGAGCTTGATGGAGCCAAGCAGAGCGACGGTTCTTGGTCATGTGTGTGATCTGTTCTTTGTGCTGCTTGCAGATGAGCTTGGGACGGTGGTGTTCTTGCACGGCTTCCCGGAGATATGGTACACGTGGCGCCACCAGATGCTGGCCGTGGCCGCCGCCGGGTACCGCGCCATCGCGCCCGACAGCCGCGGCTACGGGCTCTCCGACCAGCCGGCGGGGGACGTGGAGGCCACCTGGGAGGACCTCGTCGCCGACGTGCTCGCCATCCTCGACGCCCTCTCCATCCACAAGGTACGTAGTCACCACATCCACTGCAGTGAACAGCTGAGAGACGCACGTAGCCCGCCATGCTCGCTCCCTGGCATGACCATCATGTGCTCCTGCCTCCAGGTGTTCCTGGTGGGCAAGGACTACGGCGCCATGCCGGCGTACGACTTCGCGCTGCGGCACCCGGACCGCACCCGCGGCGTCATGTGCATGGGCATCCCCTTCAGCCCGGGGCCCTTCAACTTCGACACCATGCCGGAGGGGTTCTACATCCTGCGGTGGCGCGAGCCCGACAGGGCGGAGGCCGACTTCGGCCGGCACGACGTCCGCCGCGTGGTGCGCACCATCTACATCCTCTTCTCCCGCAGCGACGTCCCGATCGCGGAGGAAGGGCAGGAGATCATGGACCTCGCCGACCTCTCCACGCCCCTGCCGCCGTGGTTCACCGAGGAGGACCTCGACGCCTACGCCGCGCTCTACGAGAAGTCCGGCTTCCGCTACCCTCTCCAGATACCATACAGGTAGGCCAGCTGAAGCTTCTTCGTGCCCCCAGCCATGGCACGATTATATTACAACGAAGAAGAAACAGATTGATGAACTCAACTGCTTCCATGCATGATCGCAGGTCTCTGCACAGGATGACGAAGCACGTGGACCCCAAGTTCCAGGTCCCCGTGTTCATGGTGATGGGGGAGAAGGACTACTGCTTCAAGTTCCCTGGTTTCGAGGCCGCCATGAGGAGCGGCGTCATGAACACCTTCGCGCCGAACCTCAAGATCACCTACATCCCTGAAGGAAGCCACTTCGTGCAGGAGCAGTTCCCGGACCAGATCAACGACCTCCTACTCGGCTTCCTCAAGGACCATCCCTGATCTATAATCCATCGCCGGACGAGAGTGAGCTCGGGGTTCCCAATGAATAAAGCTTCCGCCACCATTGCTCTGCTTGAACCATGTCGCTCTGAATTTTCTTGGTCGTTAAAAATGGATAGTGTAATGTAATCATGCCCGTCTGGTTTTTCAGTTTTTGAATCGGGTAGCTCATCATCGATTAAGAAACATTATATTTCTACTTTTTTGAGGGTTTTTTCTTTTTTTGAGGGTAACATTATATTTCTACTACAATGTACTCCTTTCATTAACTCAAAAATGCAACACTATGGAGATATCAACCATAACTGAGAAACACATAGCATATGCATAATTAGGATGCACACGAACATCATGAATACGCCCACGCAAATGATCACATCGGCAAATATAAAAGCCATAGAAGAAGCGAAACTAAGCCTAATAAGGCAAAGGGGGTGAAGGGCATATCTCAAGACTATGTCGACATCCATGTGGAATAGACGTCAAGCTCTGCACAATCTTGAGTACACTCCCAAGTATATATCCATCCAAATCCTTTCTTTCTCACATTCACATATTTCTTCAAATATGAAAAATCATGGCGTAGCTCCTCAAAGGAATGTCTGAGGACGTCGAGATGTGGGTGAGGGATCTCAAGCATGTGGTGTTTGGCCTTTTGAAGGTTTCTACCAAATGCTCCAGCCATCCCGAGAACCTTGGAATCGAGGAGGGGGAAGTTGAGTCCGTGTATGATGGTCAACTTCTCTCATTTGGTGAACCAGACGGTTGGAGGTGGGTTTAGATGACAAGAGGCTCGGGCCAAGCTTTGTGATCTTACAACATCATCTTCAAAATATGAATCACACTTGTCGAAAAAGAAGAAAATCACCTAAAAGGGGGAAGTTCTTACCCATCACGAAAGACATGCTTTGAAATAGAAAAAATTTCGTGACTTGTCTAAACACTGACCCCATTGCTATGTGTGTGATCATGGGTTGGGCTTTGTTGCCATAACAGAATCTGGTAAACATGACTTTTCAGTGCATGTTCTTAATCACATCTTCGGTGGTTTCGACGTCACCTCACCTTGTTTACCTACGCATGGCAGGTTCTATGGAATCTTACACGGTGTCTAGCAGGGAGGAAGCTAGAAAAAAGTTTGATGGAGTCATATCCATAGCAATGGGGTCATCTTCTATAATCAACAATGATTAATACTAAGTTAATGAAGGGTTGAGTAATTGCATTGGGGTCAATTGACCCCAATGCCTACATGCCAGCTCTGTCCCTGGTGTCTAGCTTACCTCAATGGATTTTTAGCCATTTTGGTTGGATAATTTCACATGGAAGGTTTTGCGGGATCTTACACGGCCCTTGCCACATCAACTGATATTGGGTGTGTAGGCCCCTTCTTTTGGAAGGCCTAGGGGTTTTGTGAAGGAAATATGCCCTAGAGGCAATAATAAAGTTGTTATTTCATATTTCCTTATTCATGATAAAGGTTTATTATTCATGCTAGAATTGTATTGATCGGAAACCTAAATACATGTGTGAATACATAAACAAACACCGTGTCCCTAGTGAGCCTCTACTTGACTAGCTCGTTGATCAAAGATGGTTAAGGTTTCCTAACCATAGACATGAGTTTCCATTTGATAAAGGGGTCACATCATTAGGAGAATGATGTGATGGACAAGACCCATCCGTTAGCTTAGCATAATGATTGTTCAGTTTTATTGCTATTGCTTTCTTCATGTCAAATACATATTCCTTCAACTATGAGATTATGCAACTCCCCGATACTGGAGGAATACCTTTTGTGCTATCATACGTCACACCGTAACTGGGTGATTATAAATATGCTCTACAGGTATCTCCGAAGGTGTTTGTTGAATTGGCATAGATCGAGATTAGGATTTGTCACTCCGAGTTTCGGAGAGGTATCTCTGGGCCCTCTCGGTAATACACATCATAATCTTGCAAGCAAACGACTAAGGAGTTAGTCACGAGATGATGTATTACGGAATGAGTAAAGAGACTTGTCGGCAACGAGATTGAACTAGGTATGAAGATACTGGCAATCGAATCTCGGGCAAGTAACATACCAATAGACAAAGGGAATTACGTATGTTGTCATAATGGTTCGACCGATAAAGATCTTCGTAGAATATGTAGGAGCCAATATGGGCATCCAGGTTCCTCTATTGGTTATTGACCAGAGAGGTGTCTCATTCATGTCTACATAGTTCTCGAACCCGTAGGGTCCGCATGCTTAACGTTCGATGACGATATAGTATTATATGAGTTATGTGATTTGGTGACCGAATGTTGTTCGGAGTCCCGGATGAGATCACGGAAATGACGAGGAGTCTCGAAATGGTCGAGAGGTAAATATTGATATATAGGATGCGGTATTCGGACACCGAAAGTGTTTCGGGGGGTACCGGGTACTTATCGGGTCACCGGAAGGGGTTCTGGGCACCCCCCGGCAAAAGATATGGGCCTTATGGGACAAGAGGGGAAACGCACCAGCCACAAGGGGCTGGTGCGCCCTCCATATGGGCCGGCCTAGGAGGAGAAGGAAAGAGGGGAAGGGAAAGGAAAGAGAGGAATAGGATTCCCCCTTCCTTCCCTCTCCCACCCCTCTTTCCTTCCCCCTCCAACAAACATGGCAGGGGGACACGGCCAAGGGCAGGAGCCCAAGTAGGATTCAGACCTACTTGGGGCGCCCCTTGGCCTCTCCCCTCTCCCTCCCACCTATATATATGAGGAGGGGGTGCCTAGCACATACCAGACAATTGTTTAGCCATGTCGGCGCCCTGCTCCACCGTTTACACCCCCGGTCATATTTTCGTAGTTCTTAGGCGAAGCCCTGCGAGGATCACTTCACCATCACCGTCACCACGCAGTCGTGATGACGGAACTCATCTACTACCTCGATGTCTTGCTGGATCAAGAAGGTGAGGGACGTCACCGAGCTGAACGTGTGCAGAATGCAGAGGTGCCGTGCGTTCGATACTTGATCGGTTGAAGCGCGAAGAAGTTCGACTACATCAACTGCGTTGAGGAACGCTTCCTCTTACGGTCTATGATGGTACATAGACACACTCTCCCCCTCGTTGATATGCATCTCCATGGATAGATCATTGCGTGTGCATAGATTTTTTTGTTTTCCATGCAACGTTCCCAACAGTGGCATCATGAGCCAGGTCTATGCTTAGATGATATGCACGAGTAGAACACAAAGAGTTGTGGGCGGTGATAGTCATACTTCTTACCACCAACATCTTATTTTGATTCGGCTGTATTGTGGGATGAAGCGGCCCGGACCAACCTTACATGTTCACGCACATGAGATCGGTTCCACAGACAGACATGCAACTAGTTTTGCATAAAGGTGGTTGGCGGGTGTCTGTTTCTCCTACTTTACTTGAATCGAATTTGACTGCGGCCGGTCCTTTTGAAGAAGGTTAAAACAGCAAACTTGATGAAACACCATTGTTGTTTTTTGCGTAGGTAAGAACGGTTCTTGCTAGAAGCCCGTAGCAGCCACGTAAAACTTGCAACAAGAAAGTAGAGGACGTCTAACTTGTTTTTGTAGGGCATGTTGTGATGTGATATGGTCAAGACATGATGTGATAAACGTTATTGTATGAGATGATCATGTTTTGTAAGATACCTGACAACCGACAGGAGCCTTATGGTTGTCTTTTTATTGTATGAAATGCAAATGCCATGTAATTTTTTTTACTTTATCACTATGCGTTAGCAATAGTTGTAGAAGCAATAGTTGGCGAGACGACCACGACACAACGATGGAGATCAAGGTGTCGAGCCGGCGACGATGGAGATCATGATGATGCTTTGGATACGGAGATCAAAAGCACGAGATGATGATGGCCATATCATGTCACATATTTTGATTGCATGTGATGTTTATCTTTTATGCATCCTATTTTGCTTAGTACGGCGGTAGCATTGTAAGATGATCCCTTCACTAAATATAAAGGTAAAAGGGTTCTCCCTAAGTATGCACCGTTGCTATACTTCGTCGTGTTGAGACACCACGTGATGATCGGGTGTGATAGACTCTACGTTCACATACAACGGGTGCAAGACAATTTTGCACATGCGGAATACTTGGCTTAAACTTGACGAGCCTAGCATGTACAGACATGGCCTCAGAACACTGGAGACCGAAAGGTCGAACATGAATCATATAGTAGATATGATTGATGACCCACAAGTATATGGGATAAATCGTAGTCCTTTCGATAAGTAAGAGTGTCGAACCCAACGAGGAGAAGAAGGAAATGACAAGTGGTTTTCAGCAAGGTAATGTCTGCAAGCACTGAAATTGTAAGTGGCGAGTAGTTTGATAGCAAGATAATTTGTAACGAGCAAGTAACGACAATAGTAACAAAAGTGCAGCAAGGTAGCCCAATCCTTTTGAGGCAAAGGACAGGCCAAAACGGTCTCTTATGATAAGCAAAGTGTTCTTGAGGGTACACGGGAATTTCATCTAATCACTTTCATCATGTTGGTTTGATTTGTGTTCGCTACTTTGATAATTTGAAATGTGGGTGGATCAATGCTTAGGTGTTGTTCTTACTTGAACAAATCTTCTACTTATGATTAACCCCCTCGCAAGCATCCACAACTACGAGAAAAGTATTAAGAATAAAATTTAATCATAGAATTAAACTTTTGGATCCAATCGGTCCCTTACGGAATAACGCATAAACTAGGGTTTAATCTTCTATCACTCTCGCAACCCATCATCTAATAACTACTCCACAATGCATTCCCTTAGGCCCAAATATGGTGAAGTGTCATGTAGTCGACGTTCACATGACACCACTAAGGGAATCACAACATACATACCATCAAAATATCGAACACATATAAAATTCACATGATTACTTGCAACAAGATTTCTCCCGTTACCTCAAGAACAAAAGTAAATACTCAGAAATAATAATCATGCTCAATATCAGAGGGGTATTAAATATCATATTGGA